CCTACCGACCTGCCTGCCTACCTACCTACCTACCTACCTACCTGCCTGCCTACCTACCTACCTACCTACCTACCTACCCACCTACCTACCTACCTTCCTTCCTACCTACCTACCTACCTACCTACCAACCACCTACCTACCTACCAACCACCTACCTACCTACCTACCTACCTACCTACCTACCTACCTACCAACGTACCTACCTACCTACTACTTACCTACCTACCTACCTACCTACCTACCTATCTACCTACCTACCTACTTGCCTACCTACCCACCTCACGTACGGACGGACGTATTTGACCACCTACGTACGTACGTACGTACGTACGTACCGACCGACCGACCTACATAACTGCCTGCAGACCTCGCCGGTGAGCATAGTTCTCAGCCATGTGACCATGTGAGAGTGAAAAAAAGCTGCCTGCCTACTTACCTACCTGCCTGCCTGCCTGCCTGCCTGCCTGCGTCGAGTGCGAGTGCCAAAATATAAGATTTCAGATGCACAAATTTACACAGTTTTGTCTGTATGTTATCGGTAAGGTACATAAACGGCCAGGTGTTCCGTACGTGCGTGTACGTGTATGTATGTAAATGTGTGTGTGTGTGTGGGTGGGTGGGTGGGTGGGTGGGTGTTTGCTTGCTTGCTTGTTTGCTTGTAATTTTGTGTGTTTTGTTTGTTTCTTTTTTTTGTTTGTGTCGGAACTGGTACGACAGTGTGCGGATGTGCCAAAAGCATCAGCACTTTGAGCCCTGGCCCCATGGCTGTCAGGCATCTCAACGCAGGGGTCTCTAGACGCCTTGCGCCGCCAGTTGGGTCCTGGCGTCGACCCCCTGTGCCCTGGGCATGGAGTTTGAGAGCGAGAGGTGTGCGATTCATAAATGCTCGCTCTTTGGTGCTTGAAGGGTCGCCGTTTCAATGCATTGACTTTCCGAGGTTCGGATGTATTTCGGGTGGTTGTCTTGTGCCAGGTACGACTACTCCACCAAGCAAGACTCACACAGGTGGGCTTGACTGCGAAATATTTTCTCGAAGTTAGCGGTGCTCCGAGCGAGTGGCACTGCCAGCTGGGAGTTCGAGAAAATCAGAAGATCCCAATACAGACAGACAAAATTGTAGGATGTTTAACAACAGAACGACCCCCTGAGCAAAAACAGTAACCGAATGTGGTAAGTTCGCATCCGGAGCATCCTCCCTGCTCCGTTGGTCCTGCAGCCGTGCAGGCCTCGGCATGTTGAGAAAAAGGAGCAGGCACGTGGGCTGTAAGATCTTGGTTCATCTTGTGAAAAGGATTCTACGAGGGGATATACTGGCATCAGCAGATGATGTCTAGCGTAAGAATGAACAGGATGCTTCGGGCGGGTCGTGCAGGTGAGTAGGTGGGCTTCGTTGGCGGTAACTTGCAGTACCACAGCTGAGACAGTTGCAAAACTTGAGAAAAGTCAGAAATACCCAACATCTGGTCATACTTGTCGAGTCGTTTACACCCTACATAGAACGGAGACTTGCTGAAATGTGTGCATGATGGCTACATTTCGTCTTCCCAAGACTTATCACTATGCCTTCACGTGAGGGAGACAACGCACAGCAGCCCACGTGTACCTCGGTGCTAGTGCACAGTGCCAGTGCAGCAGAGTTCTGTGTCAACATGGCCCTTGCCGCAAGCAGTTCCAATGGAGTTGCTGTCCTGGATCCTTAGGCAAGCGTGCGGTGCGCAACCCGAGGCAAAGCCTCCATTGCTACAGGAGGGCACCAAGGAGAGCACAGGCATCGAGCAGCTGAGACGGACCCTGCGCGAGGTGCTGTCCTTATTCACAGGTGCAGTTGTTGAAGGCTCAAAGCTCGAGATAAGCAAGCACGTGGCCTCATGGCAAAAGGGGTCTGTTCTTGAGCTGGATCTGAGCGTGAGCGCAAGCTGAAAAGTACCAGGTGGTGGGCATCCACACGACCGCGGAGGAGCAGGACCCGCAGCAGGCCTTGAGACTCTGGTAGCAGGACTACCAGTACCTGAGTTGGGGCCACTGGTGTCATGTCAGCTTGCTCTGTCAGTCGGTATTTTCGTTTTCATTGTGATATTCATGATTTTTCTCATTGTGGTTCTTTCTAGGTACACGTAGCCATTCTACAAGGGAGAAATGAAAAATCTCGTCGATTGCACACAGCCTGTTATTCACGTCCTGTGCAACATGCGGCATGCGGAGAGACGTGCGTCCTGCGGTTGGGCGCGAAAACCGATTGGACACAAGTCGATTTTTTGCGCTCGGCTCGTCGCGCCAAGAGCTTTTCAGCGAATGTCCACATGTATTCCGGGTCAGCTAGCCTTTCTGGGGAAGCTCGGGATTCTGCCGCCTCAGGATGTTTCGGACTGAGGCTGCATCGTAAAGGTTTCATGATCTCACGCTGGCGCTGTACTTATCAGAAGTTTATTCCTAAAGGGGCAGTCCTGTTCCATCAAGAGTCAAGGAAGCATCCTTTTTGAGACCTGTCAGCCCCTCGCGTTGCCTGCCGACGGAGGGCTGCCATTCGATGTACGGGAGTCTGCCAGACTCATACACTGCCACAGCACGATCTTTCAGCGATTCACCCGGCTCGAGGTTGCCCTTCAGGTCAAATTGTCTGAAGCTCGTGTTTATTTGTGGAATCTCAAAGTAAGTGCTCAGCCGCAGGCCCCTCATGTGCAGACGTGCTGCGCCCCCACCCACGCTTCCAAAAACAAGCCAGTGTCAAACTGCGGCAAGACCTCCGCTGCTTGGCCCCCGCATGCCGACCTGCAGCCGCACATCCTGGATGCCTGACATATTTCCTTTGTGACCATATATGACAGCAAGACCGCCTGCCTACATTCTGCGAAATACCAAGCAATCCAAGCAGAGCTATGCACACGTACGTGCATAGACATAGTTTGCATAAGCTTATGCAGATACTTTGCAAGTAACAAGTAAGTAAATGAGCAACAAGTAGAGGCACCCGTAGACAGACACGCAGAACGCGCCCATCAGCTGCGAAATTTCTAGAAACAGTTGCAGGCCGAGGAGGACGAAGATTTGGACGCGAAGGTCCCAGCCGGTCAGCTGAGGGCTCTGCGGGAGCAGAAGAGGCTGGCTGCTGGCATTCGGTGGGGCCAGGGTTGAGGAGGAGGGTTCAGAAGTATTCATCTATAGGTTTGGGGGGGATTGAGGGGCTTTGGGGCTGATGATAAGCAGGCAAATTGCGGCAAAGCGACTGCTTCAATGTAGGGTGCAGGGGCTTCGACTCAGTGTCTGGCCTGCCAACTTCTGTGGGGTTCTGACCGGTGGTGGATCATTTTCAATCGCAAGTTGGTAGGGCCGTGTTTTCTTGGGGGCGAGGAAGCCATCTTGTTGTTCGACCACGGCTTTTCCAGCTCTGCTGCTGCTTGCCACGTCTTCTGACATGCAGATGCTTGCGCTAGAGCCATCATTCACTATGACCTTTCAGTAAGCCCAGGCTACTCCAGAAGTGTTCGTGAAATTTGCTGACTCCAGGCCTATGTCTTCCTTCGTCTCCACCAGCAGGGAGTACGTGAACTCTCTGGCACGCCCGGAGGGGCTGATGATGGACGCTGTGGAACTTGGTTCGTTGGACCACATAGACTTCATCCATGGTACTTAGCAGCGGTTCGTTCCAATAGTGGATGGTATAGTGTGTCTAAGTTGAGTGGTCGATTCTGTGTGGATTGTATACAGATCTCAGCAATTTAGGCAAAATGCGGACGTCGAGGCTACGCACACTGTGAACGCTAGAAGGAACAGAAGCAGGTGTTCTTTGCCCAAGCAGCATTGCCTCAACCTCCCCAAAAAACGGCCGAAGTCTGCAGCAGGCCATCGAGAATAGGTTTCGGGCCGGGGCCTCAGGAACCGTCGAGTGTGGGCAGTTGCAGGTCCCATGCGCACACTCGAGACATCTCGAGACTAGACGAGACCCTGGACAGAGAGCACAAGAAATCAACTTCTGGGGCGCCTTTAGACTCGTCCGAGAGAGCCGCAAAGGGCGCTGCAGCGCAAGCTTGCAGGCACCTCCTCCGGGCTCCTACCGGCCCATGACGCACCTTTGCGCTCCGCGAGTGAAGACGCCGGCCGCAAACACAGGGCTTCGTAGTGGCTTTTGAACACTTGCTGGGCATGGGGTTGAGGATCGTAATTACGTCTACTTAGGGGGTGGATGTCATGTGTCTCAGTTTCGCAAAGTGCAGTCGCTGGGTATTCAATCATACTGTCATGAAGTCTGCTATGGAAAGTTCGATCGTTCTGAAGGTTGTCGAGGCATAGGTTTAGGATGTCAGGTGCTCGAAGACGCGTGGTTGCGATAGCTTCAGGGGCTGAGAATGTCTTTGAGGTCTTCACTAATGGCGAGCCGACGCAGAGCAGAAAGCGCCTGCTCATGGAAAGGGAGGCAGGCGCACGGTTGTGTTCGAGCTTAACGAGCCTGCGACTGAAGGGGTTGTGATGCCGTTGTGTGGGAGCAGGATGCATGTAAGCAGATCGTATCGTTTCTAGTCCGCGGACAGCCCTGGCAAGCCTGATGATCTTGGCTCCTGTGGGGCTCGTGCTGCAGGTGAGAAAGCTCCAGGCAGCAGGCAAACCTTACGAGCACCTGCTGCAGGCACGGGAAGGGTCCGCCGAGCAATGCCGAGGCATCTCTCGCTAAGCTAGCATGCGGTCAGGTTGCCACGCGTGTCTCGTGCGAGGACGTAGTGCCGCATCGCCGCGTCAGTGGCCCCCC